CATGTTAAGAAATCCCAAAAATCCCAAAAATCCCTCAAGCCCCAATTAAACCCCAATTGGGCGAGGATGACATATGTAGAATCTATCTAATTTTTTTGGTCCCTCTTACAATATATTATCTTTTTGTAAAATTGTTTCTTTGGTAAATAAAATTATTGGATATACAATATTTAAAATAAGATCTCTATATTTTATTTTTTATATATTAAATGAAATATAAATTAAATAATGCAAATTATATCTATTTATATATTTTCAAATTATTATTAATTTGTAATCACTTTTAACTATTACTTGTATATAATTTGAATTATAAAATTTATTTTTATAATATTAATTTAAAATTTGTTTTTGGTTTTCTTTAATTTAATTTTTATATGTTTTTGCTTATTTTAACTGTTTCTGTTAATTAGTATTATTTAGTACTCCCTAAATGCACTCTCTATAAATGTATTTATTATATTTTCTCTCTTTAAATGTATGGTTAAGCTTAATTCCAAGTACATAGAACTCTCAATAAAATTACCTCCATAAATGCACACCCTTTATAAATACATATTTTTCAAAAATTTTCCTATGGTATTGAGGGGTGTGCATTTAGAAAGAGTTCACTGTATAAGTTTCTTACATACAATATAAAATTTTATATTGTTTTTTTTTTGTAGATAAACATTATTTCTTTATTTAATTTGTATAATAATAGATATATATTATGAAAAAAATAATATCTCTTATGTGTAACAATATAATGAGTTAAATGCTAGCTTATTTATAGTAATTATTGAACTAATAAATTTTAAAACAATATATCTTGTCTAGATATTTTGAGCAGCTATAATTATGTATTTAGTATTAAATTTAAAAAAATTGAAATAGTTTGAAATTAGTTTGAAGATATAATTAGTAAAGTTAAATCCACTTTAAATATATGAATTTGCAACTATAGTTGGTATATTTATAGTATTGAATATTAAAATAAAAGAGAATTTATTAGATAGTTTGAATTTGATTGTATTTTTAATGGTTTGTTTTATTATATCATTATAAAAATTGTTGTTTTATTTAATATCAGTAAGAGAAAAGATGTTTGCTGTAATGCAGTAGAATATTCAAATTTATTTGTATAGATGAGTTGAAGTCTCAATTAATACTTTGATCCAATTGAAAAAATTAGTTGTAAAAAAAATATTGTTGATAATATTACATATTAGTTCTACTAGCTGCTAGGTATATATGATTGGTTTGTGATTGTTATTGGAATAAAGAATGTTATTGATGATATTAATGAGTTAACTAATATCTTCTAATGTTAATGGGCATTTGAAAACATGTTGAATATCTTTGATATACAGGCTGTACCTGAAATAGTATAAATCTGAATATTAATCTGAATATAATTTGTAAAGATTTTTTCTTATAGGAAGTATTTCTGAAAGTAACTTGATTCTAAAGGTAATAATATTGCTATATTTGTTGACTTTAAAACTTTTTATTTTTTTGTTGAATTTGTTGATAATTTTAAGGCTATGGAGTTTATGAATATATCCAAATATTTTAACTGAAAAGCTTTTGCTAATTATATAAGTTTTGGTAATGTTTAGAATTTTTTTGTATTATTTAATGCTGCTGCCTAATTGTAAATTGTTAATTAGTAGACTTTTAGAGAAGTAAAATAATAGGTTAATCCATTGAAAAGTATTGTCAAATTTTGGGTTAAACTTAGATTAATGTATTTATTTTGAATTGATTTATTTTGTACTAGTTTGTTGATTTTCAATACTATTGAAACAAAGTTAATTTTTGTTATTCTTGAATAGTTGAAGATTTTGTATTGTTTTTTTTAATGCCTTTATTAAAATACATATAGATATTAGAGTTTAAGTTCAGTATGAAATTTTGACAATAAGTAATCATTTTAATATTTTTTTTTAATATTGAATTGATTTTATAATTTTATATTTAAGATGTTTGTTGATAATTGGTTTGTGTTTACTATTTCTTCTTTTTAAGTAGCTTGTATTATTAATTAATTTCTATCAGCTAATACAGTTTTTAATTATCATTGTTAATTGTTTGATTATTTGAAAAATTTTTATAGAAAACATGTTTTTTTTTCTTAGTATCTTTATCATATACTGTTTTCTTCTGTCAAATATTTTTTACAATCCATTTTTACATATTGTACAAATTTTTCATATTATTATCTATTTAAATACATACAAAAGACAAAAAGAATTATTATTATTATTATGAACAATCATATAAATACATAACTAATACTTTATTATGATCTATATTTTCGTTTATATGTGATTATTTCACTATTATCCCAAATGTGGTGTCACTCATCTGTACAAAGAACACCCTCCATGTTTTTTATTTTGGAAAAAAATCTCTGCAAGTATTAAGTATTTCCTAATTTTGCACTTTTTTTGTTTTAAAAGGCAAGAAAAAAAAAGAAAAGTTAATACAAAAATCTTAAGTTGTAAAATTTTCTTGACATGATCATCAGTGCAAAAACTTTTGTTACACACTGAGTTGAAACGGGTCACATTTTAACACGTCTTCAGGATTTCCACATAGATATGGAATTTTCGAGACTTTTGATTTATCGTGTAACACTATTTTCTTAAATTCTATTGGTTGACTGTATCTACGTTTTTACAATCGTGATAATCGAAAAAATGACTTAGGATTCTTATTTCGACAAAATTCCACCTGAGGATTATAAGCTTTTGGAATTTTATAAATATCGCACGAATCAAGAAGATTTCACCTTTTATTTCAGGAAGAGGCCAACAAGTTACGAAGGAGTCTTGAGCTTTTGATAATGAATGGTTCAGAAGAAGTTAAAAATAATGCTGATCGATTAAAGCAAAGCTTTGAGGAAAGTGATATATTTTTTTATCTTTCTTTCGTATTGTTAATAAGCAATACGAGACTCCAGTAGTCCTGAGAAAATTATGCAAATATAGTGGACATCTTACGTGTTGCTCACCTTAGTCTGTTTGTCGCAGTACAATATTATACAATATAGAAAGATCAACACAAATAATTCATTTATTCAATTTTACAAAGGGTCATCGTTATTATTGCGAAGATGTTCGAGTATTTTTGGACAAAGTTGAAGTTGACCACGAAAATGAAGAAAATCGAAAAAAAACATCGATCTCGGAGGTTAGGATAAATGCTAAAAAAACTATGTTACTTAAAATTTTATGCGAGCATCTTTTATTAGATGATAATATTTACATCTGCCATTTCAAATGTGTATAAAACGCAACATATTGTTCACGCAAAAAATTTTTAAAAACTTTTTGTATAAACAGATGAATATGAATATAGAGGATCATGATTTGGTTATATCATCATTGTCTGGTGAAGAGGAAAAAATAAATAGCTTAATATATGACGATCAAAGCAACTCAACCCATCAAGTATCTACAACTGACCTTCCTAATCGGTAAGTGAAGCTTTATTAGGAATAATTTGTTTCTGTAATATAATATATTGTATTAGTAACTAAAGTTCCATGGAAAGAAGTCGAAAAGAGCAATTCTCATTAGAGATTAATATTCCGAAAATCAAGGTAGGATTTTCTATTAGATTATGATGTTTATCGGTTACTCGATGAATTTGGCAGATTTTAACAAGTTTAAAGGGCATAGAAAACTACAATATTTTATGTTTATTCGATTTTGAGTTTCCCTATACAAAATTGCTCTTTGAAACCTTAACCACGGATCAGATTAGCATGTTGAGGAATAAATGGGTCCAGGTAAGCCATATTTTTACATTCAATTGCGACTGTGGAAATTGAATTAATATTCCTCTAATAATTAGGATAAAGAAAATGATTTGATTGAAGATATATGGCAGTTATGTCCGTTAAAAATATTAGTGGACGAGTACTCTAAAGTTATTAAAGAAAACACGAATGAAGACACACTGAATCTCAATCTAAAAAAACTCATGTTAACTTTTTCAATGCCATTATTTGAATATGGTTATCATCATCAAAAAAATTATGAACTTCTCTGGTGTCAGAATTTCTATAGAGAAATGTAGGTCCCGCAGTATGCCCTTTTTGTATTATTTTATTACTAATTCAAAAGTAACGTTCATTATGTAGGACTCTCCAAATGCTTCGCGAGCATAGTTCGTTAAAAGATAGCAGTACAAGTGTATGCCAATATCGAGGCGAAATTGTTGATCCGCTTATATCAACAATTTTTTATGATATTGATAATGCAGTCTGGATAAAAACGCAAGTATTTTTTTTAAGATGTAACCCTTGGTTATAATATTAATTACTGACTTGAACTAGTGAAGAAATAGAAGATGACACGAGTGAACGACAATACAATTTTTTAGAACAGGAAGGTTCAAGTGAAAAAAATGATAACAAACATGATGGAATTTTATATTTTGATATAAAAGATACAAAATTCGAGGTTGGGTATGTTGGGGTAGTCGGTAATGCGTTTACTACTAGTAGATCTGATAAAATATTTTGTTTAGAAAAGCTGTTAAAAGGTAACATTTAATTTTATTCATTTTGTTATGAAAGATACTACTAAAAATTTCTATTAATATAGCGACTATGAAGTCAATTCAGCATCAAAATGAATATATAAAATTTGATTCGACTACTTTGAAGCAATCATTTGCAGTTTTGGTATTTGGTAAGTATTATACATACTTGTCCTCTTATTGAGAAAAATTCTTAATTAATTATAATTCAAAATAGGAAGAGAATATTACCTTTTATGCATGCGTTTGATAGAAGATATGTACATTATGGATGAGTATGATACATTTACATTACCAAGTTCAAATTTCGATTTTTCGGAGATTGAAAGCATTGTCAAAGCGGTTAAGAAATTTAAAGTATTTTTTTTTGTTTTTTTGTTTTGTTTTTTTTTTGTTTTACATGTTCTTATAAATCTACATTATTATTATTATGTAGATAAGAGTGCGGAATTATTATTGTGAACTTCAAAACCAATTTCCACTTAGCAAATAACTGATAGATCGTCATTAAAGATATTTAAACATAAGGTTGATTTGCGGATTTGCTTATATGCGATTTCCATAGCTCGATTCTTTTAATAAAGATTGGAAACCATTGCTATTCATCTATTTACTGCTGTTGATGATTCTCAAACTGTATTTTAATTATAATATATTTATAGTACTGTGACAATATTAATAATAACTATAATAGCAAAAAAAATATTATAATTAAAATAAATAAATTGGAAATTCGATGTTTTTAATAATAATAGGTTAAAATAAAAAAATTTTATATAAAATTGTTTGTTATTATTGCAATTGAATATTGAATGTGAGACTTTATTTAAAAAATTGTTTATTGTTATTGTATTAACAATTACAATATAATAGTGTGCTTTGTTTTATAGTATGGTACAAAAAATTTTAGAATTTTTTATTTATTTATTACTCAATAACTATTGCATAGAAATTAATAAAAAATATATTAAAATAAAACTAAAAATCTAAAGATTTTATTAATATATAATTAATAATCAATTCTCTTATCATTATTTTCAATTATTAATTCACATATCTCTTTTATTTAATTTATAAAATTATTTATAACCTTATTTGAAATTTTATTCTATTCTTTTATTTTAAATCGTTTAATTTTAAAATATTTTTGGATAATTTTATTTTTATATTTCTTTTAGTAATAGTCCAAAAGTTTTTTATGAAATTTAAATTTGAACTATTAGAAGACCAATCAATAATTTCAGAAAAATTTTTATTTAAAAATATTTTAACTATTTTATTTATAGTATATGTTTGGAATAATTATATTCTTTACTGAAACCTATCAAATTCTAACAATCTAGTTCACATGATTATTGCAATTTTGTGACTGAGTTGTGAAGATTCAACCATGATTTAATGGTTTTTACTATGTTGTGACAAAATCTTAGCCATTTAGTGGCAATTAAATCCTTATTTCAATGATAACATCATTACTAACTCTTTTTAAAAAATAGTGAACAAATTATAGCTATATTGTAACAACTTTTAGTTGCAAAATAGTAACAATGTCATTATTATAATTATTAATAAAATGTCATTGTGGCAATACAATTTCGAGGTAACTTTAATTAAATTATAATAGAATCATTGCAAAATAGTAACAATTAATTAATCGATTTTAATGATTGATACTTTTTCCGCTGATCCTTTTGCCAACCCAAAAAACAGACGTTCTCAAAAAACTTTTTGTTTTTATGATAATAAAGTCTAT